ACTGCTGCACTCTAATCAAAACCACACTATTACAAATAGGTGCTTAATATTTAGGTCACACTCTAGGTCGTGTTTTGAGTTAAGGCAATTGCGTTTTACTGTCTTGCAGATTTCCCGGTATGATTGAAACGTTTTCTCAGATTCCTCGTCTTGTATTTATGGATCCTTCCCTTAATAATCCCCTGCCAATTATTTCAGCATGTACATTGGGCTATTTATATTCGATTTTGGGAGATGGGATGAGACACCATCTCCAAAATTCCTCCTAGGTATAATCTTATGAGTTCTTTCGCTTGTTCTTCTCTTTGTTGTTTCTTTCTATTACTGAAAGAACTGTCATTTTCACCTACAGGTAGGGCTGAACCTGCAGCAGTTTGGAAAATTATTCTTCAGGTAATTTAAATTCCATGTATTCAAGAGTACTCAAATTCAGATATGTATTCTGCTCAAATTACTTCCTTTGATTTTTTCTATCTATAGACTCGTGTTATCTCTCTGCCATGTCTTCTATATTGGATTATGTAAGAGGTCAGTATTTTTTCCATTATATTGTAAAACATAAATTCATCATATTTATATACTATGCATATTCATGTATAAATATATTTATTACATTATATTGAGCATGGATATTTGCGATTATGAGTTGCTAATTTTAGATTTATGAATTGCATGTTTTTAAATGCATGTTGTTATATGGTGCCACATTTCTTTGTATATCGTAAGTCTTAGATTCCCACTTGACAATACTTATTCACAATTTTATAGTACTTATTCACAATTTTTAAACATGGGAATAGCTTAATGCACCCCTGCAATTGGTTGCTGGGTTAGGTTCTGGGTAGGGATTTTGTTTCTTACTTTGGGGATTGGACCTGATTTTTGGTTTGGTTTTGGGTTAGGTTCTAGGTTGACTTTTAACTTTAGTGTTTGACAATCAAATTTGCGTTAGGTTTGCGGGTACAATCCGTTGGATTTTAATTTTTAGGTCACACTCTAGGTTGGCGGGTACAATCCGTCAACTTTTAACTTTAGTGTTTGACAATCAAATTTGCGTTAGGTTTGCGGGTACAATCCGTTGGATTTTAATTTTTAGGTCACACTCTTGGTCGTGTTTTGAGTTAAGGCAATTGCGTTTTACTTTCTTGTTTTTTGTTGTGGTTCTAAATACTATCAAGATTTCTTAAAGACTGTTGAAAATACTTTTCACCCTTACCATTATTTCAAAATACACTTTCTGAATTTTTATGATATTATTTGAAATTTGGTTTATACCATCAGCAATTCAAATGGTAGTTGTTGTTTTGAATTTATTTTTTCACTATAATCTTCGAAACTTTACTCTATCGAGGAATAAAAGAGTTACATATTTTAGCATCCTCTGTCATGTTCCAATGTCGTTCAAACCAAGGACTTCGTTATAGTGTTCAAATTTTTTTCCTTTTACTTTTTCCCCTTTCCCCTAACAGACATCAGGTTTTTCCCTTAACAAACATCGGGTGGATCGTTAACTCCTCTACCCTTCTACCTTTCTTTATTAAAAAAAGAATGCTCTTAAAAATGTACCCTAAAACACTATTATCTATCTGAAATCCACAATTCAAAAAATTACATAAGAGACTTAAAAAATGATTATTTCTACTCACTACACATTATGCCTTAGAATATTCATATAGTTTGGTCACCAAGTATACATTCACAAAACAGAAATTAAAGTAGGGTTATTTCATTGTGAGGGTGACACGTGGAAGGTGAGATGGAGGTGACATGCCATTGAGTTGGATTTATTGTTTACAAGAGCGTTTCACATTCGGCCTTGAAAATCAGACGCCACCCAAAAACGCCGTTTCATATGCTTTAACCGGCGCCTGTTCCCCTCTGCGACCGGACAAGTTCAAGAAACCGGCCCGTCAAGCATCGATTCCGGTGAGCAGCTTCCGGAACCCATCGGTCGACCCTCAGAATTAGCCAAACCCATTGTGCACGAATGAGCCAGTACGAAGAAGAAACATTCCAGATTCAATTTTGGACGCATTTTGACAAGTTTGCGCCGGTTCATTAGTCATGGTGCATCTATCGAGCAACTCCGCCTAACCCATCAGGTATTATCTTCTTCTTTAATTTATGACCTTTTCTTAAAACTATTGTATTTAAATTGTGAAGGGCAGGCAACACCAAAAACAACCTCTTCATATGCCTTTGTTGTTCACTCTTCAGAAATATAAATCCAATCTGATTAGTTTCCTATTTCAAGAATTTTGAGGAAAAAATATCATCTGATCATTCTTCATTAAGCTAAAGCCCTACTGCACCTTAGCCTTTTAATCAATCATTGCGGGATTCATATCTGCACTCTTTCTTTGTGTTGCTTTACAATTCTTTCGTCTTTCATATCTGCATCTATTATTCCGCGTCTAGCTTTTAGTTAAACAAAGAGGGCTGATATTTTGATTGCTTATTCTTTCCAAGGTTATTAGGATTGCTGGTTAGATTGTGAGATCATATTTCTTCTTTCAGCACCCCTTATTGATTGAATTGCAAATCAATACCCCTAATTAGACAAATTGCAAAAATGCAATCCAGCCAAGAATCAAGATTGCCCCGTACTTTTACCTAATTGTCAATATTTTGCTGGCTCTATTTTGTGTAATTGAAGATGAATGGACGAAGATTACTCCTTTTTTTTACAGTCCTGCAACTACTACTACCCCTTTTAATTATTTAATGTGTGAATGTTATAAGTGAATTTTATTTAGGGGGAGATTAAGATAATAATATTAAAGAGAAATGAAAATAAGAGTAAGAATTGACCTCATGGAATCTTATAGCCCACAGTATACAGGTCTAATTTTGTATAGTATACCACATGACATATTAGCATTTTTACAAGTGTTAATTTATTTTTATGTCTTCCTATTAATAGTAACCATATCTTTTAACTTTGATTTATGATTCCTCATGTTTATAGGTTTTGGAAGTGAAAAATGGATTCTACAAGAACTCATGCTGCAGCTTTGGATTTTGCTTCTATATGCCCTTCATTAATGAAAGTTCATAATTTATGCTATTGCACTCTGGTATATAAATAAAAAGAAAAAAATGCAGTGATAGGTTGTATATGGTTCCTCATGTAAAAGTTATTCCATTCTGAGTGACCTTTGTTCATGGTTTAGGACATTTTGGTGGCTAATTGATCTTAGTTGTAATTTGGCAGGGAATCCCAGGGGCGTGTTTGCAGCCTTGACAGTGTTAGAACATCTATTGCCCAGTGTGCCAGGGTTTGTGGGTTTTGAAAAACAAAAGGTGTGTTCTTTAATATTATTTTTTTGCTTTTTAAAAAGGGGACTCTTCATTTGACTCATTAGCAAACAGTTCAAAGTCTAATTTTTTAAAAATATCAAAACTACACTTTTTCTTTGAAGATTTGCCATTGGTGTTGTGTTCAAATGGTTTGTTTAGTTAGATATTTGCAAGATCATCATATTCACTTGTATAAGACGTAAGGTAAGGAATATTAACACCACAGCCTCCTCTTATAATTGGGTCTCGGACTCTGGGTTGGCCCAACAACTGATGACTTCATTTTTAAAAATTTCAGGTTACTTCGGGTTCATACTACTTCATGTTCGGGTCAATGCGGGTTCAAGTAGAGAACTATATGTTCATCACCATTATCATTCGGTTTGGGTCAACCCAACAAGTTAAAACATTGATTTTAAACAAAATTTTAAAAGTTATTCCATTCTGAGTGACCATTGTTCATGGTTTAGGACATTTTGGTGGCTAATTGATCTTAGTTGTAATTTGGCAGGGAATACATCCCAGGGGCGTGTTTGCAGCCTTGACAGTGTTAGAACATCTATTGCCCAGTGTGCCAGGGTTTGTGGGTTTTGAAAAACAAAA